TCTTCCATTCCGTTCGAGGAGAATGCGGTAAAATCGGTGTTCTCCAACTTCAGGAGGGTGGGTGGAAAGTGGCACGCCGGCACGCGACTTCCGGCACGCCATCCGCCTATCTGGGACCCTTCCTCGAAGTTTCTCTTTCCCTTCTTTTCTTCCATGTTTATTTCCTTCTCTCTCGCTCCACCTTCGTTTGGATTCCAGAGGAGGAAGAGGTCGATTGACCATTTCTAAATTCCGATTTTCCACTCGCTTCGTAATCCCTCCGTTTCAAATATAAATTAATCCTTTTTCGCGAGGCGAACTCGTGCGATTTGGCTTTATTTACTTTGTTTGATATATATATATATATTTTTTTCTTTCTTTCTTTCTTTCTTTCTTTTTAAATATTTCGCCTCGCGAATTTTAGATTTTTCTTCTCAAACTTATTTATATCCGTGCAATTTTGTAAAACTTTTATAAAACGGAATAATGCGCTGTCGAATATGATTAGATATTTTTTTATCTGTAATTGGACGAGCTATGTTAGTTCGAATTTGATTAAGTCAGTGGCGATAGAAACATTATTTTCCAAGTTTTGTTATCGAATGAAACGTACAAGGAAATTATTTCGTCGGGAAATGGAGAGATGCGGTAAAAGAAGGTGAGAAATAAGAATAACAGACGATTAAATTCAATTCAACGAGATGACATTCATTTTTCGTTATTGAACAACGAAATTCATTCTCTTCTATTCGAAGAGATATAGGAAAATAGAGATGCGGTATAAGAAGATAAAAGATAAGAATAACAGATAGTGAACGTGAGAGCAACGATTTAAGCCGAGGATGCATCTTGGTAATTACATTATCATTAAAATGTCGCGAAACAACAACAATACAAACTTTGACATTCAAATTCTCTTTCTTTGTACACGTACGTAAAATATCGAGTAATTTGTGCGCGAATTCGTTTCGAGTGATATTCATCGAAACGGTGTGGAGTTGTTGGAGAGATGGTCGTGGAGAGACGGTTAAGCGGTGACAAAACAGCCGAGATTGCTTGCTCTTCGTCGTTGTTGTGCAATTACGAGTAACGATAATCGAAGTAATTCAGTACGCAGTCGTCGCGACCACGCGCGCGTGGGGCCGATGTTACGTAAAAAGATTACTTTACGTCTCCCCCTAATAGCTGTATAAAAAGGCTGGATCATCGAACAAATGTATTATTCAAGCGTCCAAGTGCATGTGGATATTGGCCAGAGTGCGCTGTGTATATATACGTATGTATAAACACACGCACACACACACATATATATATATATATATTGATAATAGCCAGATAAATAAACAGCGGTCTAGACGGGCAATCTAGTTTTTGCATACGGAACATTTGAAAAGCTAATAGCGTATAAACGAGTATAATCGAGTTATTTATCGGGGAAAGATAAATATTGAATAAATATATCAAATTAAATTCGAAGATAACAGTTTCGCGGTTAGTATCGTATGTCGTAGATTGAAAGAAGAAAATGCTTCGTTTCTGTACAACCAGAAATTCCTCGTCCCTAGTTTCAACACTTGCCGCCTGCCTTCCCCGAATAGGAAACGTCTCCTCCAGCGTGGACAGGCCAGCGTTGCCCGGTGAGTGACAACGACAATCGATTCCATCCAACATTTTTACACACATTTTTGCACGCATCACAGGCCGAGATGGAGGTTGGAGATCGTTGTGCATCGCCTCGTCGAATCGCGGAGAATCGGGGAGGGACGAGGAATCGTATCTGCGCTATCACGGGGACGTGGCAGTGGTCGACGAGACGTTGGGGAGTCTGGCTGGAAGGGCGGCGGAGAGATGGCCCGATCGAGAGTGCGTCGTCTCCCTTCACCAGGACGTACGATTCACGTTCGCCGAGTTGCTCGGCCGAGCCGATCGCCTCGCGGCCGGTTTGACGAAGCTCGGGCTGAGGGTTGGCGATCGCCTCGCCGTATGGGCGCCCAACGACGTCGAGTGGATGATCGCGTTCGTCGCCGCGACGAGGGTGGGCCTCGTCGCCGTCTCCGTGAACCCTGCCTACCAGCAGAACGAGATCGACTATTGCTTGCGAAAGGTCGAGGCAAAGGCCGTCATCTCGCCCGACAGTTTTAAAACCCAGGATTATCCCGCGATGCTGCTCCGTGCCAAACGATCCTGCCCCGCTTTGGAACACATTATTATCTATTCCAGGGATCACGTTGCGTAAGAAAATTCTTCTTCCTCCTCTTTTTCTTCTTCCTATTTCTCTCCTTTTTCTTTTTTCCTCTTCTTATTCCTCTTCCTTCTTCCTACTCTTCTTCTTCCTCTTCTTTTTCTTCCTCTCCTTCTTCTTGCTTCTCCTCCTTCCTCTTCTTCTTCTTCTTCCTATTGTTCCTCTTCTTCTTTCTCTTGTTGCTCCTCTTCTTCTTCTTTTTCTTCTTTCTCTTCTTATTGCTTCTCTTCTTCTCGTCCTCCTCTTCTTCTTCCTCGTCTTTTTCCTCTTCTCCTCCTTCCTCTTTTTGTTCCTCTTCTTCTTTCTCTTGTTGCTCCTCTTCTTCTTCTTTTTCTTCTTTCTCTTCTTATTGCTTCTCTTCTTCTCGTTCCTCCTCTTCTTCTTCCTCGTCTTTTTCCTCTTCTTTCTCCTCTTCTCCTCCTTCCTCTTTTTGTTCCTCTTCTTCTTTCTCTTGTTGCTCCTCTTCTTTTTCCTCTTCCTCCTCCTCTTCTTCCTCTTGTTCCTCTTCTTTCTCTTCTTCTTCTTCTTCTTCGTCTTTTTCCTCTTCTTGTTCCTCTCCTTCTTCTTGTTTCTCCTCCTTCCTCTTTTTTGTTCCTCTTCTTCTTTTCTTCTTTCTCTTCTTATTACTTCTCTTCTTCTTCTTCGTTTTTCCTCTTCTTGTTCCTCTTTTCTTCTTCTTCTTCTTCTTCTTCTTCTTCTTGCTGGCGTCGTACATCACACCGATCGATTGCGCTCCCTTCGAATTCTTGGAGTCTAATTTAAGCGAGGGGAGGGTAGGGGGTGGATGGACAAAGCGCGCGATAAGTCTTTGTATCCGCTCGATAAAGGGGGGGGGGGAGGACAGGATGAAGGATACGCGTAAATCCTTCGCGTTTGGGAGACGTATAGGGGTCGGGATATAGTCGCGGCCATACTCGTCTCCACGTGTTGGACAAGGTCGGGCAGGTCGGTCCGGTTTTATAATTCCAATTGCGCATTCTCGGCCATTGATTTGCGTGGACGGGTGAAAAAAAAAAAAAAAGAAAATGAATCGAATTATCAATCGAGTGGAATATTCGCGAGAATATTCATCGATTCGACTGGATTAATACGTCGAAACCCCAACCCCCTCCGAAAGGAATCGTGCAATTAGGTTAATGCTCGCCTTCCCCCGATTCAGTTTTCTAATCATGTATATTCTCGCCTGAATCGTTGCAGGGGGACTCGCCGATTCACCGACGTGGAACAACTCGCGTCCAGGATCGAGGTCGAACGTGTCGCCGCGGAACAGGATCGGATATCGTGCCTAAGCGGCAGCAATATACAATTCACTTCGGGTACCACTGGAAAACCGAAGGCCACCCTCTTATCGCACAGATCGTTGCTGAATAACTCTAAACAGGTGTGTGTGTGTGT